TTACATCAAAAAAGTTTTTACACGGAAATAAGGAGATGGGGTGGGGGAGGGTGGGTGTGAATGTGGCTAAATAAAAGATGAATCCACACCCACACACACCCTTTCTTCATATTCAACATCTTCTCGACCGTCACGAAACCATTTTAACCATTGTTGAAAAGTTCGAAGAGGAGGACCTTCATCACCAAATACAGCACTTAATTCATTATAAATAACTATCGGTTCGATATAAAGTGTAGTACGTACTTTAATATAGAAACGAAAATATTCTTTATTCATTTAAAAACAAATGAATAGTTTTCATCATATTCTGATCTATGTTAAAAACAATATGCTATATTGTCTCCTATATCACATTTCTCTTCTCTTCGTTGTTTTTCTTTTCTGTTCTCTATCTTTTGAACTTCTTTGATATTTATTTTCATTTATAAATGTGAAATATACATGCTCTGTTTGTGTTTTTTCAGTTCACATAGTTAGTTCGTGTATGTATTTAAAGTAAAAATTCAAAAGAGTGAGAGGAAACTTAAGAGTATCAGAAATTTTGCTTATATAATATTGTGGATATGTGTCTCTTCTCTTTACACTCACCCACACCTTCAAAATGCTCGACGGATTACAAGAGCAAAAGTCATACATATGTTACATCACCCACATCACACAATAAACCATTTGAATTAATGTGAAGAAAAATACTTATCTTCAAGAAATGATTAAAATTTGAAAAGATGATTTATTCTTTAAAAAAGTGAGACTGGATCCAATCGAAGAGATATTGTTCATACCAAACCACAAAGTCGAACAGAAATACTTTCCTACAACCAACAGAAGAGAACTTCCGATACATGTGGGAAGAACATATAAATTACTTTGAAGGATATATGCTTCAACAATTTGTATACTCTCAATCAGAAGTCCAAAATACTTCGAAAAACATCGATGAGTTTACTTATTCATCTTAAAGACCATCTGTGGTAACTATGAATCTTTTTAACGAGAAACGCATGGTTTCCAAGAAAATGGGAAATGTTCCAAACAGATATAGCGCTGATTTCTTTTTCTCAACTTGAAGACTGTTTCTAGCAGAACTGAACTATTTATATTTATATTATTTGTTTCCTTTTCTGATGGTAGCATGAGACGACGTGAGAAGTTTAATTAGTTATTTTAAATCTATTTCTTTTTACCGTATATGACTTTCTATTATAGAGTCAACAATTTCCTCATCCATTGTTGTGATCTTTTACTCTTTTACTTACTGGTGAAGATAGATCGATTAGCTGTTCTAATGTCTTTTGTTGTGAGAGTGTATTTTTTCCTGAACGTTTTTCTCATGCCTCAACTCAGTTTAAGCTTTGAGTAGTTTTTACTGAAAAAATATAGTTTTCAATTAGTGTTGCTTTTAATACATCGTACCATCCACTAAGTATGTTTGACTAATGCGTTGACCGACTTTTATTGATGAAACACGCTTCTGATTATTATTATTTTTTTCACAATCTATGTCATGGTTTGAGGATAAGCCGATTCATATTTTCAGTAGCTTTTTCAATTAACAAGCACTTGTGTCATTTTCTTCTTTGAAATAATCTGATTTATGTCGTTAGGATTACTTTTACTAATGAAATACACTGCTAAATGTTTGTCATGTTTGTTAAGTGCACTTCATTAATCAAAACCGTAGGTAAAACACTGTGCACAATTTCTATCAGTAACACATAGGATTTGAAATTCTCAACTTTCACAAGTGTATCTATTTTATTTGAATAATTTCTCTGTATATACATTATACTTCTTTCGTCTTCCACTAATTGACAAGTGTTATTATCGGATTATAAACCCTCGATCGATTCTTTAACTAATTTTTCTTATCTAAATATAGATCTAATTACAACAGTTTATATAATAATATAAATACCCCAATACATTTCACCATAAATTTGAAAAATAAAATATAAAGAAAGAAAATATTAAAGATCCGTCACCTGGAGATTCATCTTGCATTCTATCTAATAAAGTATATTTATATCGACAAATATTAATAATGTGTGTCTCTCTCCATAAAGATAATATATTATCTAAAGCTAGAGGTTTATGGTAAGATACAAGAGTTAATTTTTTCCCTAGAATACTGAACCGATCAGTACTCCTGTTATATATATTCAAATCTATGTTATTGCGTTTTTTTGTCAAGATTTCCTCATTGTTGTACTTCTACTTTTATTTTATAATCAATTTCCTTCTATTCTTTTTTTGTGTCATCTAATTTTTCTCCTACAATACGAGATTAAGACTTACGACAGATAATTACATTTTGAAATGTGCAGCAACTTACTAAATTGCTCTTCTTTTTCTATGCTCATGAGTATGAAATTCTCCTTACATTATTTTCTTTGCATAGACTAACAGTGTTCTCGAAACAAGTCATGTGGTATCATTTGTATTATATTCACTATTATCTTTAATGATCGATTTTTCAGCATATTTGCCTTAATATAGACCTTTTCTAGCATATGAATCGTGATCATTAAACGAATATTTTTATTCTTTTATCTTTTGACAAAAAAACGCTTTAACTAAAATAAGGAAGACAAATTCATGATATACTGAATTTTATTTATAATATAAATGCACTTTCACAAGTTTTTGATCATTTATTACAAACACAATAAATAACGTCTTTACTGGAGGTTAGTAATATATTAATAGTTTTTTCTAAATTTATCATTCCTTAGAAACGCGACGAATGACGTCTTTGCTGGAGGTTAGTAACATATTAAAAGTTTTTTTTTTAATTTATCATTTTCTATAAATGCGATGGATGTCGACTAGATATGGCACTTTATTTTTTATTTTGTCGACGCTTTATAGACTGTGGAGAGTCTTGTGAGTATTACACATACATTTAAGACAGTTATAAGCATAGAAGAGAAAATTCTTTGTAACTTTAGAATTTGCAGTATAAATATAAGATCGAACGACACTAATATGAAGTGTTAAGCGAAAAAGTAAGTATGTCGTTTGTTTTTCGCTAAGGAAACAAATATACTGTTTTTTTCGTGACTCGTAAAATATTACACTTGTTTGTTGAAGTTAGTTATGATTCTTAAAAACAATTTTCCTCAATGTTTGCTCATATGAAATCTATCATAAACTCCTACCAGTTCCTCAGATTATAACATAGTGTAATACATCAGTCGATTTAACCAATTATATCGCGCAACTACAATCATACTGTGACTTTTCAGTAACATAACTAGCTTGTACATATACCTATTATATTCATGTCAAGTCACGCATAATACTTTAATATAGTTATAACACAGCAAAATTATTTCAGATATTGTTTTCCACTTGACTTACTTTCCTTACTCACATGAACTTCATCTTTTGCTTTCAGTCATGCGCACTGTATAAGTTTTCCATGAAATTTTATATAGTAAATGAGAAAGAGAAAAAAACTTTTATTTTATTATTTTTAAAATATGACTACTATTGTTTTTTTTCTCGCACCATCTATATGATAAGCCAAACTACTTAGCTACTTGAAGAACTAGAAAATCAAATGTCATAGATTTGGAAAGTTGGATAGGATGCCACGAATAAATATTCGAACTTTATATCTTGTACATTTCTTAAAGAACAAATTTGGTTGACTGAGTCATTAATTCATTCTCCATCTTCTCTTTTTAGATACTATCAAACACACATAATAGTTTCAATGACAGTCTCGAATATTGTTCGATCTTGGCTCCTTCAAGGTTTTCAAATTCCGTCTATTCTAGTCGGTGTCTTTATCCTCTATTACTTACTCATGGATCGAGCACTTCGAAATGCACTTAACAATCATGTAATTATTGTCATGGTCTTTGTTGGTCTTATCTTGCAATGTATCGATGTTACGGCGCTCACTTACTACGATCGTACCGCCACTGTGTTAGTATCCACAAGAGCTTTTTGTTTTACATGGGCAATCATTCATGACATTGGGGTTGTGGGAACAATAAATCTGGTGGCTTGGGCGTCGATTGAACGCCATATTCTTATCTTTCATGCAAATTTGGTTCGTACAAAAACAAAGCGATTTTTTCTTCATTATCTTCCATTAGTTATATGCATGATGTTTCCTGGCGTATTTTATATTACTATGCTCTTCATCGTACCTTGTTCTGTCACAATGGATAATACAAAAATACATTGTGGTTATTTTGCCTGTATCTATGTTAACCCGTCAGTTGTATTGTATAATACCATAGTGAATTACCTCATTGCTCCATTTATCATTGTAATATTCAGTGTGGCTCTTATTATACGTGTGCTGGTTAGTAAATGCCGTGCTCGTCAACGAATTGAATGGCGCAATTACAGAAAAATGGCCATCCAATTATTATCAATATCTTTTCTCTATATGTTTGTATATTGTCCGCCAATTTTCTTATATACTGCTTATTTGGCAGGTTTACCACAAAATATAGCTACCGATTACAATTCTGATAGCAACTATTTTGCTTACTGTGCTATAACATTCACTCCTTTGGTATGTGCTCTCTCATTGCCTGAACTTCGAACGAAACTTAAAATATGTTTTCCATGCTGTCGAAGATGTCGTGCTGCTGTTGGTCCACAATCATTGATGATGACTCGTACAAAAGCAGGTCTAATAGCTAGTCCAACAGCTAGTCCAGCAGCTGGCCCAACAGCTGCAATAGCAACAATTGCTCAATAATTATTCTAGAACTACCATAATTAACAAATATAAGAGCGTGACCCAGTCTAAAAATATTAACAGACACTATTTTTCATTGGAAAAGGATTTCATATTGTAGTTCCCCATTCTCACCTTGTTGTTGTCATTGTATTGTTTCGTTCATTCGTCCTTTATCATTCTATCTCATCTATTAATTTCTTTTTACTGAACATTATTTGATTTCATTTATGTTGTGTAATTATTTATATTTTGTGTTTTATTTTAATTATT